AGCAGGTGCCTACAGCTGCTACTTACTCCTATCCGTTGCTTTCCTCAGGGCTAAGATAGAATAAGTGCGTCTGCACCCACCACCTTTAAGTCTCGTAAGGAGCAAAGAACAGAATTTCTACTTTTGTAAAAAAAAAGTCATTAGCAAATACAGTGCAACTTGAGTGAAATCTACATAAACAAAAAGCAGCTGCCTTCTTGAGGAAAAAAGGACGCTGGAACAAGAACCTGTCTGCAGTTATAGTCGAAGTGTGATAATGGTCAAGATGCACCTTGATTGCACAGGGCCAAAAAACAAAAATGAGATGTGCATCCAAGCTGTGATTTCAGACTGATTTAGACTGGCCTAATACCCTGTTGCCACCAAAGGAGGCAGCCCAAGCCCCAGGTACCTTCCCATTCCCATTCCTTCCTACTGCTGGGCTGGCACTTGTCTGCCAGTCAGACCAGAGACACCACCCAGCTAAAAACCAGTCCTTTACTTTGTGCTGTGCTAGTTTTAGTTTAGCATTCATTCCACATTCAATAAACCTTAGCAGACAACTTTTTCCTCCCCTCAAATGGTTGTAACTGAAGCTTACATATTTTAACAAAGTGACAGAAGCATAACAGAAAATGTAGCAAATGCCTAGGAAAAGTATTTCCTGCAGAGGAGTTTCATCACAACCATGGTATATTGTGCTGCATGCGCTGTACACACACTGTTCAGAAAACCCAGGTTTTCCATGCTACACCAGCTAAACAAAATTTAACTATATTTCAATCATTCTGCCCAGAATTGCAACTATTCATTTTCGTAAACACAAAGAAGATTCACTACATTCAGACTTTCTGTGCTATAGAAGCGAGTAAGAATCCTAAATCCCCAGAAGAGAACATGCACAGGAGAAAGGTAACTCCAACTGCCACTTCCTTTGTGGACATGAGTCCCTGCCAATACCAGACGTAAGAGAAACCAGCCAGTTCACAGGCACGATGCTGCATCGCAGCAATAGAGCCCTAACAAGGGGTTGCACAACTACGTGCAGAACCAGCACTCCTGGACAACTGCACCACTTCTTAAGGCTGCATAATAGAGGGTGCAAAACTCAGGGGGACTTTGGAGAGTCAAGATCTTATCTTGAAAAAAATTAAGAAAGCCAGTGCTATCAAAGACTACAGAGGGCATTTGGGGTCACTGAATTAGGCAGCCCAGAAGCCTGAACACAGGCACTGTGGAGAGGAAGATGCCTAGCAGGAAGACTGTGAGCAGAAAGACCTATAGACTAGCATTCATGATGTTCCTATAAGTCTTTGACTGGTATTTGAAAATCTCATTTCCCAGCGCTCTCTCTGCTACCTTACTTCTGGCCTGCGGTGCTGCGGCAGAACAGCAGGATTGCCAGTTCTGAGGACTGGCTACCCCTCCCCTAAGACAGCAAACACTAAGCACCGCCATGTTTCAGGGTTGTGGGGATTATCCGTGTTCTGAGGACGTGACTGCAGGTGCTCAACTGCGTGGAATAATTTTCTTCCTACTAAATGAAGAACTAAGCATTTTCCACAGTTGTTCTTACCAACATGAACTTGGCCTGTCCTCCAACAGCCAGGAGCAGATCATCACCAGTCCACTCCACAAACCTGGAAATTTCCTGTTTACACACCTTGGGAAATACCCTACCAGGGCTTCCAACTCATTCCCACCATTTTTTAAATTCTCACTAACAGCACACAAAAAAACCCAAACAAACAAAAAACCCCAAACCAAACCAAAATAAAAAACCCACAAAGCATGTACGTTAAATGCCAGAAAGCACATTGCTTCCAGTACAGTAAGCATTTTAAGCTCTTAACTCCCCTGACTAGAAAGACAGTGAAAACAAATGTTCAAGTATTTCCCAAATATCTCGAAAACAAATAAACAACAAGCCTGACATTCTGTGAAATCTTAGTTTATCCTACCCTTCCAAGGAGTGAAATGCTCTTTGTCAGTTATACAAGTACCTCCTCCAAACACATTCCTATGCTGTGGAAAACTATCAAAACGGCAAAGTGCCAACATTTCAGCTGAAGTGTTTCCTGGAAAAAAAACTCCTCCAGCAACAGAGAGCATGCAAAGCCACATTTGCAGCAGCTATCCAAGCTAATTGTTGCTGCTTGGTTGTTTGCTAAAGCTCCAGCCCTGGAAACACTTCGGCACGAGGGTAGCCCAAGTGGCGTGCAGGACCTCTGTGCACATTCAGAGTCAAAGTCACTGAGAACGTTTAAAAGGCCCCCACCTCCATCACTGTAATGCCTAAGCAGTTTACCGGATAATCATCAACCGTGCCATACGTAACCCCCAAAGGACAAGAGGATTACATGTAGATGGGGAAAAGAGCTTAGAAATGCTAAGGGACGAAACCCAGACATCTGTAATTTCTGCAGTTTCAAAGGAGGAGTCAATCTACTGTGTTGAGCAGGTCATCCCGGTCCATAGGTGGTATCTTAGAAGAAATCTTTGCTAGAGCAAAGACCAAATTCCAGCCTGAAGCGTCTCTGACCAGCAGCTGATTCACTGCAAACAATCTCCTCAGAGTATTGTTCCTTTGTTTGTTTCACATCAGTGAACCCCGATTTCTCTTTGACTTCAGATTTAATAATCGCTAACAAATAGGACAGCAGAGAAGGTGACATGGCTTTCAAAGTGTAACACCTGATTCTCCATTCAGTAAGTTGAAAATAAAAATATAATTGAGATTGTATTAATGTTTGTTTGTAATTTTTTGATAAGTTATTATAAAACTCTTTTGCCCAAGCTTCTACCCTCAAGCTCCAAATTTGAGCCTAAGTATCACAACCATGGGAGTAATACAACAAGGGCTTTTGTCTTTCCAGCTTCTTACCTCTGTTCCTCTGAGGTCTTTGGGATAGTAAATGTCTTCAGTCATTTGCACACTTAGGCCAAAATCCACCAAAACAGCCTTAGTTGACATAAAGACAATGTTGCTTGCTAAAAGAAAAACAAAGATGACAGCATTTAAGTTTCTAGCACATTGGGCATTTATTTTACAACATGCCTGTTTCATTTGGATGTTAGCCTGAAAAGGGGGATTAGCACAACCAGTCTCTATAGCCGACACAGTCCTTCGCCTAGCCAAAACAGGTCTGTTAGTGATTGGGTCCAATTTTAAATCGTATCTTAAAAATCAAACTGGACTGGTTTACGTAGAAGAAGAATCAATGTTTGGACATTTTCCTAGCTTAAAAAAAGAGAGAGAGAGAGAAAAAATGGCTGAGGGCAAGGGCGGAAGGTGGAAGACTGGTAGGCACCTCAGCGCCATGAGGCTTGCTCTGAAGATGTTTAATGGTCTCCAAGGTGGAGAGCATGCTGTGCAGGTCTGACTATAAACAACATAACTCTTGGTCACCAAAAGGTTTCTCTACACTACTGATTTAAATGAAGACAGAAGTAGAGAGGAACCAAGGCCCCTCCACAGCAGCCACACCAGTCTCCTGCACCGGTCAGCAAGAGTAACTCAGCGCAATGCCAGAGGACAGACTATGGCTGCAAAAGTAATAAAAGACAGAGATTTCCAAACTCCCACCGTATTGCAGCAATATCTAGGAGCTTAATTCACTTTCCTTCATAAAACTCTGCCTAGGGCACAACTTTGTACTCAGAGGCTTTCTTTGCAGCTATATTTCTGATCAAATATTTATGAAGGTAGTGCTCTGTGTAAGCCTTCAGAAATTCTTGTTTGCTCTTTCAGAAGACACGGACAAATGAAGTCTCCAAGTTACACAACAGAAACACATTTTCTCCCAGAGGAAACTGTGGGTCATTTTCCATCTTGACAGTGCCCACCATGACCACCCAGTGGGAAGACGCAGGCTTGATTTCAGCAGTACTGGTTCCTGAAGCAATCCTTCACATACCTGCCTCCTAACCAGTGCTACAAACCATGTAAATAAATTTGTAATTTTAGGGATACTTTTGAAGAGACTTTCAAACACCACATAAAGGACGGTGCAGAGGGCCACACTGCCACAGCACAGCAAGCTCTGCTGTTTGGGACTGCACCTAGCTCCAGCTTCGGCTGGTTTTGGACTAAAGTTCCCCCCACCAAATAACTTTAGATTATTATTTATTTATTAGATTATGATTTATTTATTAACTTTCCAACCAAAGGTTAAAATGACTGGCAGCACTGAGCTGCTCCTAAGAGCCAACAGACAGTCCTCCTCCCCTTCCCGGCTCAGGGCAGTCTTTCTCTCAGTAAAATCCCCATCTCCTCCTGTGTCAGCAGGACAGAGACTCAACAGCAGCCGATGCCGTGAGGAAGAAATCAGAGATGTTTGGGAAACAGCCTTTTCTATCGATTCTGCCTGGCGAGGGAAAACACACACCTTGGCTCCCTCGCCAGGCAGCGGGCACGGCTGCCATTAAGGGCTTGGGTTACCCAGCTCACCCCCTCGAATAAAACAGCTCCCCGCAGGCAGAAGCGTGGCCGGGGTTTGCACCCAGGCACCTCCAGGCCGGGCGGCCATCAGCCCTCGGCGGCCATCAGCCCCAGTTGGCCTCCACCTCAGCTCCTGCCCTGCATCCAGTAACACAGAAAAAGGCTGGAAAAAACGAAACGCACTCACATCCACCACATTCACAACAGGCTGGTTCTCCTATCCACTATCTAGATGTAGTGGGTTGGGTTTTGGCTGGTTTGGTTTTTAAACCTTTTAATTAATGTCATTGTTACTGCCAATTACAATAAACGCATAGGGAAGACTCTTACTACAAGCGAGAAAGCACAGCTAAGGGAAAAATTAAGCAGTTTTATAGTTGTTAGAATCTCAAAGGCTTACCTCTGAAATACTGACCCACATTAACTAAAAAAAAATGCAAAACCAAGATAAAAATTTATCAATTCCTGATAATCGTCTTCTGTCAACTATTTATTGTAACACTTCAATTTGAATATTTCTATTTTAAACCCTCAAGTTTAGAAAAAATTAACTTGCAAAAGAGATACGTCTTCCTTAGAAGCACTGTTACTAGAAAGGCAGAATTTATCTGTTTGCAGGGGGAGGTGGTGCTGGGAGAAACAGTATTTAATATTAAATTAAATGCAATGATTAAAATTAAGTTTTAAAGCAATTTAATATTAATGTATTTAATTTAGGTTTAATATCAATACCTTTTGATTATTTATACATGTTAATACCCAGAGCTTTTTAAAAGCAAATATATACTAAAATTTGCAGTAATTGTTGAAAGAAAAAAACAGTACAAATTATGTATTTAGTTCCAAAGTGTCTCAAACTGAGGAACAGCCATGCAGAAACATAAAACCTACAAGAAGGTGCAAGTGGAAGGTGGGCATGGAAGCACTCAGGATGAATTTACATGGAAAGAGGGAAACATTTGGCTTAACACAGACCGATAATTTCGCTCATTTTCTTTAGGTTTTTATTTCAAATTGAGTTGATCTAGAAAGGCAAAGGAACCATGACTTTCAAATCATCCTCTCCACTGAAGTGAATTAATAAACAGTGTAAATAACAATTATCTCCAGAACCTGACCTTGTCATTTGTTGAGCATTATCCAGCCCTCCCTCCCAGAGATGCGAGGCTACGTGTCCCAGCTCAGTCCCAGGCTCCCCACTGGAGCCCCAGCCCAGCTTGGACCTGAAAGCACCCCAAGGAATCATACACACATACGTTTGATATCATGGTGGATAATCCTCTTGGAGTGGAGAAAGTCAAGTCCTTTCAGAATATGCTTTGTCACCCAAATGATTTCAAATTCTCTCATAGGACCACAACTCTCCAGCTTTTCCCCCAGCTCAGTCCCAGGCTCTCCACTGGAGCCCCAGCCCAGCTTGGACCTGAAAGCACCCCAAGGAATCATACACACATACGTTTGATATCATGGTGGATAATCCTCTTGGAGTGGAGAAAGTCAAGTCCTTTCAGAATATGCTTTGTCACCCAAATGATTTCAAATTCTCTCATAGGACCACAACTCTCCAGCTTTTCCATGACAGATCCTCCCTCCCCGGCTTCCATAAAGAGATGGATCGTCTCGTCCCACAAAATAGCACCGTATAATTCAGCAATGTTTTCGTGACGGAAACATGCCTGTATTTCAACATCCGACGGTTTGAACTGTTCCACTGGGACCTAGGACATTGAAACAAAACCACAGAAAAGCAGCTCAAAAAACAAGTTACCCGTACTAACACTAGTTATCCTATAGATTAAAATGGAAGAAGGAGGCAAAGCACTCCTATCCACTTGTTAAAACACGGAGCTTTATTTTGATCCTGTGACTTGTTCTTCCTTTCCAGTTGAGATACATCCTGTTTAAAGTTGAGAGAGTTTTTGGAGTCATGCCCAAATAAAAAGTGCAATCTTCCAGAAAAAGCAATGTAGCAAGAGTTATTCCCGTCAAAATCCAGTGGTTACGCAAAAGCTCTATGCAAACTTCCTGGTGAAGGAGATAAAAATCCCACTGCTTTTTCCATTAGCTTTGTGCAGTCTCATCTTCTCTACCAGAACTATACACCCGTCTGACATGCGGATCAGTGCTTACAGCGCTAGCACAGTCTACAGACTAACCATGTTCAGGACCATTACTGACCTCGATTCAACCCTTATCAGCGCTGTTTTATGGCTTACAAGAAATGAAACCTACTTTAAAGCGAGCACCTGGCAGCACTATATTTCTTTAAAAAGTACTGACGGCAGATTGGTAAGACAATAAAAAGCAGTGTTTGCTTACACACAGAAAGGCTACTACCGCTCTTTTTATTCTCCTTCCCTCAGATTTGTGGCTGTGAACCAAATAAGAGGCTAATATTTCTACTGCAGTGAGAAATACTGTTTGTATTTTCAGAAACATTAGGATGCTTTAATTCTGCAGTGGGCTATGCAGGAGCGGCAAACTAAATCTGTCTCCATGTGGACACACTGGCTGCAAGGGAAGGACATACAACTGCCTCCCCAACTCTTTCACACACAGAAGTAATACAGGTACTTATTCACGAGCTGGGGGATATAGAGCAATGTCCCAGCTGAGCTTTTACTGGCCCTAAATATTTACTGCCAATTCAGAATAGCACATTGAAAGGTAAAGTTGAAAGAAAACGTTGGCTTGCATAAAAATAGGGGAGTGCTCAGCAGTTTTCTTGAGACATCTCACAACCTTAAGCTCAGTCAGTGCCCAAAACACAATGAGAGCTGCACGTAAACTGAGCTTTCAGGGACATTAATAGCACTGGAGTAAAGAAAACTTAAGTCTGAGGACCCCAGTTAAAGGACGAGATCCTAAAACCATCTGCAGCAACAGAGTTTTGCTATCACCTTCAGCAGGGACATGATCTCATGCTGATATTTTACCACCCTGAGTACAGCAGGACAAGTAGAAATTCTTCTACCCCCGCACCACAGCAGGCCTGCCCACGTGGCAGTCACACATACTTCCAGATACCTTCAAAATGCAGAAACTTCTGCAGTCTCAGAGCCAAAAAAGTAAAACAAGATAACAGTTAAAAACATGTCTTCTTCCTACCTTGTGTAGGCCAACAAAACCAAGATGATCATCAGCCTAACAGTGGAATTTGATGCAGACATATTTGAAAATATACTGTATGTACTACGTTGTACAATATTTGCTCAGAGATAAAACTACTGAACTAACATACCAGCTTGCATGCCATTCGTTTCTTGGTTTCTCTATCTTGGGCTAAGTACACCTTCCCAAAAGCTCCCCGAGGAATAAAATCAGAGCCAATGTTCCTGTAAGTCAGCTTCCACGGAAACAGAAGCACATCCGAGTCGATTTGATAGCGCCCATTCTTGGGTGTGATCTGTGGAGTTAAAGTGGGAAAAAAAAAAAAATTACGGTGCAGTTAAAACTACTTTAAGCCTAATTAATTTTATACATGTAGTGGGGGAAAAAAAAATATATATCACATATATTGCATGATGCATGCGATCTGTTCAGCAGTCTTTATTTAGAAACACCAAATGGGAACAGCATGTGAGGTGTGGCATTCATTCACAGCCCAGGCATCCACGTTTCTCTCCAGTGACTAACTTACAAAGTGTAAGTTGCAATTAATTGTCTTGAAACAACAACAACAGCAGCTGGGTTAATGAAATTACCCGCCTCTTGTTATTAGATTTACCTGCACATGTTTGTCCTTCCTGTAATCTGCTAACTTGTTATGCCACATACCTGTTACTCACAGGCTATCTTACATGATGTGAGCAAGAGTTTCAGCATTTCCTAATATCACATGTACTGGTAGGGGAACACATTTTAATTTTTCATCTTGTATCAGAGTTTCTGCTGCTTAGTAAAAGGTTGAAGAAGTCTGCCATGATTTTACCAGCCACCTTCTTCTAGTTTTATACTGTAGTTCAAAAAAAAGAGCAGGAGTCACACTGTCTGCTGTAAGTGGGTAATGTTGGGAGCTTTGGTTCTCTATACCGTCACCAAGGCGAGGAGGGCTCCTCCAGGAAGCGATTCAGAGCTTCTAAGTCAGTATCTTGCTCTAAATCTTCCTCCAAAACAGCTCCCTCCCTCTGCACACGACAGAGAGAGAGACCAAACTCCTAACTACAGCCATGTGAGTACTGCTTGAGGTTTGATGTTATTTCTTCAGTCTCTTAATATTTTCTCAGCTAAAGAAGTAATGTTTCCTGTGAATATGCTTCTAATTAATTCAGGGATATACAGTATTGTCAGTATCTCAAATATCATTAACCTGTTTACTGCTACTTTATTAAGATTCTTGAAGACACGTAAAAGCAGATCAAGGATATTTATCATTTCATGTCTGTCACATGGCCTCACGTACTTAGCTCTTCAGCTATCCCTTTTAAAATAACAGCGTATTAGGAAGATTATTGGGTTTAGATTTCTTTTTAAGACGTAATAATCTTTCTGTGCTTTCTTTAAGACGCATATAATCTTTCTGTGCTTTAACTAACTTCATGCTTTTCAATTAGGAAAGTATCTTCTTGACTGCTAAACTGTCATTTGTGACTAATATCTGCACGAAATAAGTTAATTCTTAGAAGTTTTTAATTTTGGGGAGGGTAAGTTCTTAACTGTTGGGGGAGGTGTCTTTTAATAAAAAGTATTTTGCTTAGGACATGCAGAATGAGCCTCCCCTCTACTTATCACAGCCAAGGTAAACACTCTAGCAATCCGTACATCTCGCCTGCTTGCTTCTGCATTTCAAGAGGTTGAGACTAGCTAATCCACGTGGGTTACAGCTATCCTGGAAAGTAACACAGACCGAGCGGAGTGGATTTGCAGAGCAAGAGAGCAACAACCACCACACTATTCATATTTTCAGGAGGCTTTCAGGACTAGTTCCTAGCCTCGTCCTGTGAAGTGAATGCTCATTTGTAGCTGTAACGCATCCTCCAGTTTAGTTTCAACTGAAAGAAATCCAGCTTGTGCGCTCCAAGACCCTTCGTGACGTGAGTCACGCTGCAGCCAGTGGGGGTCACCAGGCAATCAGAAACACTCCTGATCCTAACTAAAATGCTGTAGATATTTACAATGTAGATGCACCTACTGAAATGCACGTACAGGTAATGCCCTGCCTCCAATCCTCAGTTGCTCAATGGATCACGTGCACCTAATAGTACTTGGTTCATACCATTTGTATGCATCTATAGAAATAACATGCAAGCAAAACAACCACGAGTATGTAGAACAGTGTCTATCCTAAGTATAGGAAACATTTAATATTAGTGAGTGTCATTTCAATGTCACAGAGTTTAAAAAGTGACTGTTTTGCAATACTGCAATGCTCCCTCCAAATCAGAATAAAGCAATACCCTGTGCTATTTCACATCTGAGTAACCAGCAAGCCTCAATCAACCAATGTTCACATATAAAACATAGTACATACAAGATATTGAAGATGATAGATGTAGAACATCTTAAGAAAATAAAGCAGCAGCACAAACATACATGAATAAACTCCCATTTCACAACTGATTGTTTCCAGAGCAACTGATTTTAAATAGAAGTCCAGTGACACTAATATCTACAGATGCTTGTAGAACACAAATCATTTTAGGGAAAAAATGAACATATCTCAAAACAATGCGTCTATACTTGAATATAGCAGCGTGTGATATTACATAATATCGTAATTCTGAAAGTCGCAGTTGATACTATATGCTTTTTCTCCTCACATTACTACTTTTTACACTTTGTGCAGATAGAGTGAATTCAGCAACTATACCAAAATAGATCCGAGACCTTTATTTGGGAGTTTTGCGTAATGAACTCTTTACTGCATGAAACACAAGGCACTGGAAAACCCTTACCGTCTCTCAAACCTGTAAGCCATCATAGTTGTGGCTTTTGCTTTTTTACTGCATGTCTCAAGTTTGCATTCAACGTTGGGAAATGTTTTCTAATCTCCAGGGATACCAAGGCAACATAGAGTTGATCTTTCTGAAGAAAGTACCTTTCTCCATAGCTGCCTGAGACTGCAGAGGCTAGACTTTATAACCTCAGAGATCTCCTCCAGTCCCAGGTTTGCACAGGGAACAACAGCCTGACTGTTACTGCTGAGGCTGGGGGTGATCTTTATTTTGTTTCATTAATAACTTCTAACTCCTAAGGTTAGAAAATTAGAACTAATTTTCAAGTGAAAAGATACGTACCATATTCAAGAGGATTCCAGATTCTTGCTGTCTGCATCCTTTAAATTGTTTTGCAGTGTTAGACACCTGATTTGCAAAAGCAAGCAGGTCTTCCACAGTCCCGTATTTGACGGAGGACATCAAAGAAACCTCCCTTTCACAAAACAGTAAAGATTCCGCACGTTCTTCATTTTGATTTGCCTCTTCACACATTGTAATTAAGCTGTCTTCATAGACTGCAAGGTCTCCACCTGGATAAAGGTTTTCCATGATGTCTATCACCTCAGACATATTTAAATTAGTTAGCAACAAGTCAATCTCCTCTTTGCTATCACTACCCGTGCTCATATACTCCATTACTGTTCACTTTGCAAAACCACTCCTGAAAAAAAAGAAACAAACAAACCTGAAAACACTTTTCACCTAAATTTATTTTAGCAAAGTAAGAATGAAAAGAAGCAATCAGGGAGACAGCTCATCATTATACAGTTAGATTTAAAATTTTTAATTCGTTATGAAGAAAATCATAATTAGTAGACTGGGTGAAGAGGAAATGGAGAAAAAGTCTTTGCTAGTGAAATTTTATTTAGAAGTTATTAGTGAACCTCCCCTGTCATTCATTATTGGAATTTACTTTGATGAAGCTTTTCCTTAGAGGAACTGGCACAGTAAGGAAGCACAAACTAGTTATATTTTGCTGGATATGCAAAAATGAAGGAGCACTCTCAATACAAATGAAGGAATTCATTATTTGGAAGTGAATGACAGAGAGAGATATAAACGTACTCAATTAGCTTATCCCCAAGTTTTCATGAGCAATTTATGTGATGTGTCCAGAAAGAGGAGGTGGTCATGGAGCAAGATCATTCCACTAGTACTAAGCATCTGTTAGTATCATTGCATAAAGCACAAGTCACCACCTGAGATACACAACTTATCTTTTTTGCAAATAATTGACCAGAACTAGACTTGAACTGAAATTTTCACCAGCTCCAGAAGAAAGTCAGAAATGGAGCTATCATAAAAGCAATGAGCTTTTGAAGCAGTTTCCAGCAGTTTGTTCTACCCTCACTATTCCTAACAATAACTTTTTAAGATAAATCTTGACCATTTTGCTGAAGTGGACTTTCACTACTAGAATCTGGATTCAACACCCCAAGAAGCTCTTTCCCATCTCAGGTTCCTGGTTTAAGTCAGAGAGAGTTACTCTATTCAAGTTAAAAACACATGCATGCTCAGTCATTAAAACACTTACACATAGTTTTCAACACGTATATGTCTAGGAGCACTTACCTTGTATTTATCCTGGTTACATCACACAAAACCATCAAAAACGTCTCAATATAATCCCGAAAGTCGTCATGTTTCTTGAACCCGTATTCCTACCGATGATAATTTCACAGCGTTCTCTAGCAGTCTATTAAAAAAAGCAAAACAAATAAAGCCATGGCAGACCAGTTCAAGCAGAATGACTGGTTTATACTCATATGACCATTTGCTTCACAGGCTTCACGGAAAGAAAAACGAGTAATCACAAGGCTGAGATAACAGGGGATTTTTCTGTAGAACGAAAAAAAAATGACAGCTCAAAAAGAATCAAGCTACTGTATGATCATCCAGATTTCCAAGTAGCAGTGAAAAATAAGTTTTCAGTGGTTAGGTCCTGAGTTTTATTCTTTGCTAATAGCAAAGAAGAGAAGGATCTCCTTTTCCTCTAGCAGAACCGAATAAAGCATGCCCTATTTATAGAGCTCTCATTTCCCTTTTTTCATAATCCACTGCATCCACCTATTCTGGGCAAAAGATAACAACCAGACAAAAAGATACTTAAAAAAAAAGAAAAAAGAAAAGCAGCGAGCACAACCTATTTATCTCAAGGACAAGCAGCAGACTCGGTCCCCTGAGGCCATGAAGCAATGCCATTTACCCAGGTACAGTTTCTGGTTATGATCATTATCTTTCTTACCCTCCCCGCAAGGACGTGGAAGCTTTGTGGCACATATTTCTCATGGGTTAGAGTATTTACGTCAGCTCTAACGTTGAAGAAAACCGAGTAAAATGACGCGGCTGACTTGGCAAAGAAACTTAGACCACGTGCTGCGAGTTCGAAAGGCAGGACAGGACAGCTCAGCAGATGCAGCACAGGAAAAGGCAAGGGGAGTGCCTGCGGTGCAACGCGCTCCTTTTCAAACACCGGGGGTGATGGTGGCAGAGCAGCCTCGCACCACCCGTCCCCCCGGGATGGACACAGTGACTTTCACCAGCACTCTACACCAGGTCACCCAGCCTCAAGACAACCCGACGGCACCTCTAGCGTTAGGGCAGCTGGGTAGGAAACCTTGTGGTCACTAGCACTGCTTGAGCGGGGAGCACCCAGGCTTTGTATCCGGGGTGCTGAGAGGTCAGGTTTTTCCAACCTACCCAAGAAATAAAAGATGCTAGGGGTATTTTCTAACTCCTAGCATCCCACCTTCCTGCTCTATGCCCAAGCTAAAGGCTATTGACAAAGCCTGAAATTATTTATTCTTTATTATAAAGAAAACTTCTACGTTTCCCCACAGCAAGACTTTTATTCATTGCTTTTTCTGGTGCCGAATTAATGGGGTGGAGAGAAAAGAAACAGTCCAGTCATAAAAGGAACTGAGAGACTGCATGTGAAAAGTGAGGTAAAGTTAGAAACTAGTCCTGAGGGACTTTCTGAAGAAAAACACGAGCCTCCAGATGCTCTAGTCTTGTGTGGATAGAGACAAGTACGTACCACAATTAACCTAATTCACACTCTGATAACGTTTTCATACATAAGGCATCTGTACAGGTTAGACCAACTGCAGCTTTCCACAAGTGCCAGCTCTGCTCTGTTCCTCAAAATGTTCCCAAACTACAGCACAATACTAATAATATTCTCGACAGTTTCACTACTACCCAAAAAGCTCTGAATAACAAGAAAAAGTGACTATAACCTGCATATTCTCAGTTCTGTGCTTTTAGTGCTTGAGAAAAGCTGCAGACCCTTCATTTTTCCCTATATCTAGCAAATTCTAAACACTAAACGTTCACATGAGAGCAGTGTCTAGACTCTGTAAAGCTGTTTTTTTAAATTATGCAGCAATTTATATATTATATTTCCACCACTGCAAAAAAAGGTGTCCAGTTACCAACAGGGAATTAGTTCTCCCTTTTTTCCCTAAAATCCTGTACTAGTATCTGTGCTGGGCACCTAAGTAATGTTCTAAATCATTCTATACAATCAAGTTAAATGAAGAAATCACATCACTAAGTATGTTTTACTTATGTTCTCAGTTAAAAAAGTGGTTACCTACGGTGGAAAAATAAAACTAAATGTAAGCACTTAAGTTAGTTGCTACAGCAAAAGACTCTTTCTCCAGTTCTGCCATTATTTCAACATCGTCACATGAGTAATTTGCAAGCCAAAGGTTTATTTCTCTATTTATCAGAAGTAGCTTTTCCTTAAACCCCTTTTTCTGAGAAGTGTGCTGCTTGAGAGCATCCTTATATCCACCATACTAAAATAAGAGTAAGTGGATACCAGACTTCTGAACCCTTGTGGGACTTCTTTGTGTCAAGGATCAACAAAACAAAAAAGCAAACAAAAACTACAATACAAATTTAAAAAAAAAACAGAAAAAAAAAAACTAACCAAAACCTGCACAGAATGGCTCAACACAATCACACACCCATAATAAATATTTCTTGTGCTGCTTTTAGGGAATTTTCTGGTCTAAGTGGCAAGTAATTGTCCACCAGTGATGAAAAAAAAGTCCTTATTTGCTTTTAAGAAAAGTTATCGACAGACCTAGAAAAACACAATCCCTTTGAAAAAAAAGGGACAAGAAATATCAACAATTTCAATTTCTACATCATTTCAGATTTTCACCCGGGAAATAGAAAAAAAAGCCCCTCCTAGCGCTCACAGCGGCAAAAAGCCCGTCCCCAGCAGGTCCCAGTGCCCCCCTCCTGCCCCGCACCCCCTGGGGACAGCGCAGGTGCTGGAGACCCAACGACCCCAGCGGCAAACACGATGCCGTTCAGGAGGCTGAGGGCAGCCAGCAACCTGCCCCGCTAC